TTAAATATTTATTCTGTGAGTAGCACTCATCCTTATCTTTTAAGTGTTTAACAAATTAAGCATCACCACACATACATACATATGTACATATATTGCTTCATAATATACTATATGCTTACTACACATGAATCGTAAATACATAGTTCGACCCTCTAGTATTTCACAGTATTCCTTTTTGAGATGAAATTATGATTTCGCCGAATATTTAAAAATGTAAATATTTATTGGCAGTATCAAATATAGTATTGACTGGTATGAACTGGTGTTGGCAGATGTTGGCGTCAGTGTGCTCAAAACTAAATCCAATGATTGTATGTATGATTCCAATTTTCTATAGTTGAATCATTCTTTAATCGATCTCGGTTTTCACGGCAGATTATACAATATTGGTACCAACACGGGTGATAGAACAAAATAGAACCGACAATAAATTGCCAGAAGCAACTAGACAGCGAATTCCTACGGACAATTCTAGTTAGAGTATTGTCGTTTTAAGAGCAACTGAGACATTAGAAAGAAGTTGTAAGATTGAATAACGAGCAATAAGTGTTAAGTTGTTGGAATTAGAAATAAAGATAAGTGTATAGGCATTAAATTGGGACCTTTATTTAACAACCCAGTGATCGAACTCAAGAGCGAGTTATAGGTAGACGATTTATCGGGAAATCCGTTATTATGTTAATTTTACTTGTAGATCCGGCCACGCGTAGCTGCGGCTATGGTATACAGTTAATACTACTATAATAAAATATTCAGTACACTAAAATATTATTTACGAATAAAAGCAAAAACGGTATTGCACCTATAAAAATACCAGCGATTGTACTCAAGCTTTAATTTTGAAAATATTCGATGCAAATATTTCTCAAATGGTGATATTGATCGCCATTTGGCCCTTTATTCAAAACTATAACAATTTTTAATTTTTGGAGTGATGAACACATGCCATAAGCAATATTTAATTTAATTAAGAATTATTTTTTTTCTTATTAATCGTTTCGACTTTTAGCATGATTGAGATATAAACTATCCTGTCTTTTAAGTTTGATCAAACATAACACGGTGTGCTAAATTTTGCTTAAATCGTTTCGGTAGTTTCGGAATTTATCACGGACAAAAAACATGTATATATAGATATTTTAAAAATTATATTGTTTTGTAAATATAACTTATAAAGAAGACTATGCAAAAACCCACAATTACTTGTACTATAATCTGCAGAAATAATTGAGATTAAGTAATTATTGTCCAATTACTTGTATTTTTTTATGCTATAAGTGTGATATCAAAGCGTATAGTGAAATGGAAGTTGCTACGCCATTAGCAACTACTGGTGCATCAAAAATACTGCTAGCGACGAAGATAAGATTCGTAATTGATTATTTTGTTGATTTGGTACGTACTTGTAGGTTGTCTTTTATAAATATTTCGGGATTTGGCAGGGTTGCAATCTGGCAACTTACAACGTTATCGTAAAGTTTGACATTTTTGATGTTATACATACTCAGAACAGTAACTTAAAATATTCATCTCGGCCAAAACATGGACTTAAATCGCGAACATTTTAGCGCGATTATTTCTTACAACTTAACTAAGCAACATTGCATCGATGAAATTAATTAATCTTTTTGCAATGAAGCTCCATCAAAGACCAGTTTTGAAGTGCAGAAGTGCTAAGTACAGAACACTTAGATGTTGATCAGTTCATCGCCACTTTTAAGAGAAACTGATAAGTCTCTTATGTTTTAAAAGACTTGACCAGTTTACACAATAATGTTCCAAAATTATTTGTATGTTTCGTACCCTTATTAAGGCACCATAAAACAAATATGATATCTACCTTTCCCAATATCGATCAGTATATAATGTACCTGAATAAAATTACCAAGACATTTTTGCTTGAGCATGTTGTTAAGTGAAAATGGATGTTCGCTTTAACTTAATGCAGCTCATATTGCTGATGAGTGTCAAACTTATGGAATTACTGTGCTGGTACATGGTTTCCCGCGCATTTATTGTAGTACACATTTTTGTATGAAAATCATACGTCTGTCTTTAGCATTAAGGAGAAAATACGTTGGCATTCTGCAAGGAATAGCTGTAGGTTCAAGACAATTAAAGTGAATTAATTAAATGATTTTCTCTGATAGAAGATGGGTCACTGTATATATACATCATCCAAGTACTCTCCTCTAGAAAAAAGAATCGAATCAAAAATAAATATCCATACCATTTTTCTGAAATCCTCGGACACGCCCACTTTTACCACCACAAACTATGACTCCGAATCGGCGTTTGACAGTAGACGTCTATGACAATCTGACCGCCCTCCTATAGCCGTAACGGACTAGTATTTAGATAGAGTACCACAGTAATCTGTCAGGGAATCTGGAAAGTTGAGGAAATTTTTTTTAGTAAATCCGTACCCGTGTTGTTTACTTTTGCATAGAATCTATGCCATAGATGGACTTTGAAGTTCAGCGAATTTTATTATAACAAGAATACTGCTGTATGTTAGTTATAACGTTTGTCTGCCCAATAGGTGACGAATATAGTTTTTTGGTGAGAGTCATAGGATTTGTGCGTTACGTCGTCATATCAGGTTCTCCAATAGGGATGATATGATTTCTATATGTCGTTTCGGCCATTTTTAATATGTCAAGATCTGGAATTATTATACCCTGAACAGGGTCCACCACTATAGCATATAGCTGCCATACAAACTGAACAATCGGAATCAAGTGTTTGTATGGGAAACTCTTTCATTTCACGAGGTATCTTCACGAAATTTGGCATGTATTATTATTTAAAGCATCTAATCTCCGAAGAAATTGTATGGATCGGATGACTATAGCATATAGCTGCCATCGGAGTAAAGTGCTTGGATGGAACATTTTTTTATTTGACGAGGTATCTACACGAAATTAGGCACGAGTTATTGCTTAAGGCAACAAATTATTCTCCACAGAAATTGGTCAGATCACTATATCATATAGCTGCCATACAAATTGAACGTTCGGAATCAAGTTCTTGTAAGGGGCCTTTGTTTTTGTGAAGGGTATTATAGCTTCGGCGCAACCGAAGTTAATGTTTTTTCTTGTTTTTCATTGTATTCGGCAATGTTTACAATTTTATCAAGGAAAGATATACGTTTTCAATTTTATTATCAAAAAAATTGTTCTCCAATTGCAACTTTTCGTGCGCTTTTGCCATTTTATGGTCTTCCTCCATAAGGCTCTCTTTCATCTGAGTAGTGCGGAAAATAAACAAAACTGTCGATTCTGGTGTGAAGAAAATCCTCAAATTATTCATGGTGATACCGTTACTGTCAATGGAGAGCGGTTATAGATCGATGATAACCAACTTTTTATGGCCACAATTGGAAGAAGTTGATCTTGACAACATCTGGTTTCAACAAGACGGGGACTACATGCCACACAGCACGTGCAACAACCAATTGTTGCGATAAAAGTTTGGAGATTCGACAATTTCAAGAAATTGTGACATTGAATGGCCTCCAAGAAGTTAGGATTTAACATCATTAGACTACTTCTTGTCGGATTATTTGAAGTCATTGGCATCTTTAGCAATAAACCAGACTCTCTTCAAACTTTAAAAGTCAATATTAAAATTTAGTGGAAAAAGTATTCGAAAATTGGGTTCATTGAATTCGTTCCTGCAAAAGAATTCGTGGAGGTCATTTGAATGATATTATATTCAGAACTAAATTGTATCAATTGTACTTCACATTAAATTAAAAACATTTCAATTTCCTTAACAATTAGTATATGTGTGTTGGTTTTTTTTAATCATATCACTCTTATTGGAAAACCCTGTATAAGCGAATACGCCTACAGCACTAGCTGTCCCAATAAACATAGCGTCATCTCCTCGTAAAATAATCTCCCCCAGAAAACAGGGAGTTGTTCACAGTTTAGAACTCTGAGTGTATCGCTAATTTGTTACAGTCGGGACAATCTAACCTAACTCTTTATCCAAATTCCCAAAGCCCCAATTCTGTTGAAAGAGCACGCTTCATGAACACATTGTTCAACGGCATTGACGGAAATCTCATGCAATTGCACTAAGTTTAGTGATGCTTATATATTATGCATAAATATGTATGTGTTATATACCTACATATACATATACTTTTGTGTATGATTCCATTTCTCGAAATTAAGCTTTGATTCAGCATCGGTATGTATTTAGCACAGTCTGCATACATACAAACAAATTTAGAAGTTAGTTAAAGTTTTAACATGATGCAATCGTAGAATCGGCGCACGCGACTCATTTATATATATTATATGCTTACTCATCGATCATTCGGGCAGAAAAGGTAAGGAGATCGGTAGTCATTCATAGCTTTGCAAAAGTTTGTATGTGCATATGTTGCTTGACATCTTCCAGATATCCGGCTATACTCTTTTACATTCATTTGTTTATTTATTTATTTACTTTCTGACTCGCTTCGTAGTTTTCATAGAACTTTTTGTATTTTCCAAATGACGGCTGATTGACACACATTGGGATGTGCGTCAGTTTGGCTATTGCCGTTTGTGTTTACTTTGAGACATTATTCTCTATTTTGTTACAATGGAAAGTGACGGGTTATCTGTAATAATTTCAATATAAAATAAAACAAAATTTCACATTTAGCAAAGATTTTAAGCGTGAGTTTCAAGTTTACGGTAGGTTCTGTTTAAAGTGGTGAGCTACTGAATATTAACCAATAATCGGTAATACGTATGTAGATATGTATGTGTAATTGTTGGCTTGAATTTTTTAAATTAGAACGTAAATTTGTATTTTATTGGAGAACTTAAAAAATGTTATACAAATACAATAATCAATCAAATGTTATTAGTTTGCAATTAATCACATGCAGGCCCTGACAAAATATTTAGCATATAGAGTTCTGCATAAATACATACTTGAGTATGCGCAAATTTTAGAAAATTAATTTTTAATAATTTTTTTTGTTTTTCTACTTTCAGTTGCGCACGCAAATTTTGAAAGAAGCATTCGTTTTATTAGAAAAGAAAAACCAAATAGCTGGTGAAAAGGAGCAGAAGTCGACAACGACGGCACATCCTTGCCCAAAAGCACTGTACTAGCTGTACGCGACTCCCCTTACACCCACACACACACACACAAAACACTCCAATAAAATGGGTCAAACCCTTTCAGAACCAGTCACAGCCAAAGAGTCTGCGTATTGTCAAAATGAATTGTATCGCGTCGGTTCCAGCTGCATGCAAGGATGGCGCATCAACATGGAGGACTCGCACACGCACATACTTTCCCTGCCTGACGATCCCGGCACATCGTTCTTCGCTGTCTACGATGGTCATGGCGGTGCCACAGTAGCACAGTATGCTGGCAAACATCTTCACAAATTCATACTAAAGCGGCCCGAGTACAAAGAAAATATCGAGAAGGCTTTGAAACAGGTAAACGTGTGTTTCCACGTCGCTTGAGTATTTACAAAGCTACTAATCTGTAATAAAAATTCACTAAATTTATATATACATATGTTTTTGTGTAGGCATTTCTGGACATCGACTATGAGATGCTGTACAATGAGTCATGGGGCGAACAAATGGCCGGCTCGACGGCTGTTGTTGTACTTATTAAAAATAACCGTTTGTATTGTGCCAATGCTGGTGATTCGCGTGCGATTGCCTGCATCAATGGAGAGGTAGAGACTCTGTCGTTGGACCATAAGCCAAATAATGAGGCTGAAACCAAGCGCATACATGAGGGTGGCGGCTACGTGGAATTCAATCGTGTCAATGGCAATTTGGCGCTATCACGGGCACTCGGTGATTTCATATTCAAGCGCAATGCCAATAAGAAGCCTGAGGAACAAATAGTAACTGGTGCGTATTTCTTTAACTGCAACTGTGAATTTTTTTTTAATTCGAAGTCCTTCAAATTCTTGATCAAACTATCGGAAAAATTGTGTTAAATGTTTACTTGACAAATCAGGTTAGATATTGGGGCACTAATCTGTAATGCGATACGAAACAAAATCATCACTTTATATTTCGTATAACGCGTTTTCACGTCGTGTTACAGAGTACCCACCTAGAGAACCGAGAATAAACTCTAGCGTTTAGAGCACAAAAAGTGAAAAAGTTTGTTTCGTTTTTCAAATATTCAAAATGCTATATAAATAACTCTCGAGGAAGTTCTCTCAACCTTATATTAAAATAAAACATAAGAAGTAAAATAAAATAAATCATAATTTGAATACGTCGTTGAGCACCTTTTTGGGAAATTGGTATATAAGTGACCAAAAAATCTCCCTTATATCGGAGACCCTATAAAATATATATAAATGATCAACCTGACGAGCTGTGTCGTTTTAGCCATGTCCGTGTGTCCGTCTGTAAATATGCGAACTAGTCTCTTGGTTTTTGAGATATCGATCTGAAATTTTGCACATGTCGTTTTCCTCCCAAGAAGTTGCCCATTAATCCGCCTATATTGAATCACAATACCATATAGTTGTCATACACAATGTACGGTCGGAATCAAGTTCTTATATGGAAACCTGATTTTATTTGACAATATATCTTCACAATCTTATATAAGTGCCATAAAAACTGTGCGATCAAAACCAAGAGCTGGTATATGGATCATTTTTAGTTGTAAAGGGTATTAAAGTTGCAACCGACGTTTTTTTTTTCTTGCTTTATTTAATATTTTGAGGAATAAATTATTATAAAATGCTCAGATATAGGAAAAACAAAATAAACAGAGTTACGAGACCCACTGCTTTCTAAATCTAACCGTCCTTATGTCATACTGAATCTTGATGCACCTGTACCTTAGTAAGAAATTTGTATTGCCTAATATTAACATCAAATTTAGTACAAATTCGTCTTCGGTATAAATATTGCAGTTTACACGATCGAAATGGTCGCAATATGGAATTATAATCACATATATTCTTGTTTAAAACTACTAAAAGTATCATAATTGTATATATCGGAGAATTGTTATAAAATATAATATTCACCCCCAAATTTTATATATCGATTATAATGACTCGGGCCTTCCACATAACTAATACATAAATATAACGGTTAATATATAAGAAACCTTTAAAAACCACCTTTGTGCCTTTATCCTGTAACCACATACTTGTAGTGAATATATTGCTCCAATATTATTGTGTATATATAGGTGTGTGTATAGGTGATACTCGTATATAAATAAAATTGTGTTAGAATTATTCGCGAACCTCAGTTGAGTTTGCACCTGGGTCCATCTTTAGTTGGTTTTGATAAAAAAGTAAAATTGCTGTTGCTAGAAAAGCAAATGATCCACAACTTCATCTTTGGATTCATCTGAACATTTTTCTCTCTTCTTACATTATTACAACTTGTGAGATTATTTAATATTCCTTTCTGCCCGAACTTAACCCTAGTTTTGTTTGTTTTTCAGTTTTCATTCTATTTAACACTAAATTAAAATTGCACACTTTGCAACAAAAACAAATGAGCATTCATAAATTCATATATACATATATACATTTAGAAAAGGCGAAAGCACTTAATTGCCTATAAACAAAGCAAACAGAGAAAACGAATGTATACTAATTTTGCAGGTTCTTAATTTTATTTGCATACGCACTTGACTTTTGCTTCCAACTGTATACTTTATTAACTATGTCCATAGTCTATCTGTTGGTCAATAGCTATATTGCGCAATGACACATTTAACGCTTCGTATGGCAATGCTATAAATAGCAAGTCATTCTTCCTTATTCAGCGAATTTTTAATAAAGAAACAATAAAAAAGCGACTGTTCCGGTGCCTTTTATATAACAGAGGTTGAAAGTTAAAAGAAAAAAACTAATTTGAAATGTTTACCATCTGAACTAATTTGACCAGTACGATCTATTTAAACTGCGCGCGCAAACCTAATCGAAAATTATTTTTTTCTAAATTGGTACAACCTTTTTATGTTCGTTTGAAGTTTGATTTCCATATGTCAATCAATGTACGTTTGGCCACTGTTCGTTTACTAAGCGAAGATTTCGCCTGGCGATTTTTTCCCCAATTAAATGATGGCTAAGCACAAAGCATTCAGTAAAGGTCGTCGAAAACTGGACTTGAAAATTATCGAGTTGGCATCAGAAAGATCGACTCAACACATTTTGGTTAATGTTTTGGGTATGAAACGTGTCAATGCTAAACTCGTAACGAAAGAGCTAAATCTCTTCCAAAACGTCGAGTAGGGGAATGAATTTATCAAACGCATCATTACTAATGTCGAATCAGGGGTTTATGAATATAATTTAACAAAAAAAAAATTCGCTGAAGGCACTAAAGGCCAAACCAGCCGAGGCATATAACAAATCTATGGACATTTAGCTTAAGCGTTTCCATGTTTCCATGCTTGTATTGGCTCAGGAGCCTGTTTTGAAGGCGATAATAAAAATGTGTATCAAAATACATGAAAATGTAATTTTCTTTTGTCAGTGGCTATTTTAATCTCTACTGAATTAGCGACACTGTCCCACTGTCTGATCTAACAATAGCACCCACGCGAAGTCATTAATAGCACAACAAGAGAATATGATCATTTAATTTATAAAGTGAAGGCAATTGCTTTCATCACCGCAACGTGTTGATTTGCATATACATATATGTATGTACGTAAGCACACATGCAAGCATACATTTGTAGCTAAACACGTAAATGCGCACTTTGGCCACTCGGCGCACACATCATAGATTTTCGTTGTTTATTTGTTTCTGTTTTATTGAGTAACACAGGCGCTAAATGAAACTATTTGTAAATGCTGTGTTTATTTTTTGGTTTCACATACACTTAAACAATGTCGGCCCGAATGTTAACTTTTTTTTGTTTAAACACTGTTGTTTATGTACTTCACCTTTTACTCAATATTCATTCATACTTACAGCATATCCCGATGTGGAGACACGTGAAATATCAGCCGATTGGGAGTTCATTGTGCTGGCATGCGATGGCATATGGGATGTAATGAGCAACAAAGAAGTCGTCGACTTTTGTCGGAAGCGTATCGGCATGGGTATGTATCCGGAAGAGATTTGTGAAGAGCTGATGAATCATTGTCTCGCACCCGATTGCCAAATGGGCGGCCTGGGTGGCGACAATATGACTGTTGTGCTTGTCTGTTTTCTACACAATAAACCGTACGAAGAACTGATAGCGCGCTGCGCTAAAAATAACAATATTAACGGCAGCAGCGGTAACATAACCACAACATCGTCTATGGATGAGGATCATCTCGATTTAAAATAACAAAACTCCACCATCTTCTCCATATTCAATGCTAGTAGAGCAACAGCAAAAACCGTAGCGGCAACAACATCAATAACAGGCAATTCGACAGTCGACAATGCAATAACCATTACTACCATGTCCCTGACTACTACATGCAATAAGAATGCTACCGTTAGAGCTAAGAAAATTTCCAATCAACTAAGAATTGCGACAAGCATCATTAAGAGCACTAATTATATTTATCGTAAAATCTATAGGTTGCGTTACTTAATAATTGTGTTCCTTGTGTTTATGACCTATGCATATCTATATTTTGGTATTTAAAAATTTTTTGTTGGTTGCGAAGCGTTGTATACCAGATACACACGTCGTCGCATAGTTAAATTTCAAAGATTGTGACTTTTGTTGACTGCAAATATTAAAACTTATAAAATTATAACTACATAAACGATTTCAACCTACTACCTACTCTACAAATGCTTTTATAGTACAGACATATACACGTACATATATTAGTAATACACAAATTAGTTAATGCCACATTGACGGATGTTTTTGTTTGTTTTTGTATTTCCTCTGTTTAGCAAGTGTTTACAAAATTTATGAAAAAATTGTAAAAATTACTGTTCTATTAATAATATTATATTGTATTGTAAAACCCTAAAACTAAATTTAAAGCGTAGTTAAAACTTTTGAGCATAAGAATTAGTCAACATAATTAGCGATGTAATCATCAAACATACATAAATACACTTATATGCTGGCATACTGGCAATAGTTACCTAACTGTATGATTCAAATAAGATATTATTTGGTTACAATTTTTATTTTGAAACACTTATAAATTACTTTGTGTGTGAGGTCGAGATATTGACTGAGATGAAATAAAAATTTAGTTGTATACTTGAAAAAAAAAGCAATGGTTTTTGTTTCTGCGATGTACGAACCACGGTTAGATGGATATAAATTAATGTTTTATTACCACTATTTCCTTGCTATTCTTTTAAAATTCTTAAACGGGAATTTGATGAAAATAATGCTTTTAGTTTTGATATACTTATGTGTGTAAAATTTTAATAGACAATCGTAACATACTTTTCCACAACATTTCGCACACCCCCCTGAAGTTTCTGTTTGTACCTCCCAAAAAAATGCAATCCAAGGTAAACCAGCTCTTTACTTACAATCAAATATTTTTACTTTTCCGAAGTTATACCCAGTTAAAGTTATGCATCAAAGCGTATAGCATGCGTATAGCACCAAGTAGTATAAGCTACACAGAATTTATAAGATATTTTTTGTAGAGCCGAAAATGTATTATTAGAATATTACTTGCCTCACGCAAAATATAAAAAAATGCCATGTCAATTAAATGTGAAAAGTAAAATGATTTAGGCACGGTTTAAATTGAAAATAAAGAGCTTGTACGTTGAATCTGAAAAATATTCTGAAACTTCAGGGGAGGTTTGCAAAAAAAATTATCTTAATGTTACATGCCCGACTGAATTCGAATTTAAATTAAAAAAAAAATAGATTTGACTTTTGAACTTTTTGATTTAATCGTTTTCAGTTTTAAACCTTCAAAGCCCCACACTTCTAATGTTATAAACTTTTTAAAATTAAAATTATATTTTATAGTTATTATATAAAAAAAAAATTGTGCCTCTGATGAAAATGCTTTAAGATTTCAACTTTAAATAGAGTTTTTATGGGATCATATATCTTTATACCAAAACATATTTTATACCCGCTATATATTGTTATAATCGCAGTGATTCATTGCTGTTTCATGGACTCAAGTAAAGGATCGGGAAAACGAAATATTAATTTTTGTAAAAAATATTATTTCTACCAAGTATATTTCTTAAAATATAGCATTTAAAATGTAATATGTGTCACTCAACACTTATTAAGAGTCTGCAGTAGTGGAGAATTAATAAATTACTCCCTAAATAAAAGATAATGTTATGAAGAGTTAGCGTTTTAGTGAAACGTAAGCTGAAAATCACAACGCATTTATGTATTCATACCAAGAAATAAATTATGGTTATTTAAAAAGTCGGAAGAACGAAGATAAATATCGTCACACTTAATTTGTAAATGCGAGCAAATGTTATACTTACTATGTAAATAAAAAATTTCAACTCAAATGATATCACAAATCGTTCCCCATATTCCATCCTCTAGTGAAAAGTCAAATTGAGAGCTTTATTGCTAAGTAAATGTTTGTATGGTAGCATTGTTTCATATTATATATATTTACATGTATGAATAAATTTAGAAGATTTGAAACGACTCTTCTGATTTATATTGAATTAGACAAAGCCTTCGCTTGATTTCTTTTAATCCGATACATTTGATTTAAATGGAATTTTTTATAAGAGAAAGTTATTATGGTGAAAATGTTTCTGATGAAGCTCCAAAGATTGTATTAGATTATTTTGAAAATACTTTTAACCAGAAGACTTTTTATTGCAGGTATACTCGTATGCATAGTGTATTAAAATTACACCATCAAAGATGTAACACTTACATACACTTCCAACCTATATAAAAGCATGCGAACAATGTGTTTTATCTATAAAAACATACTTACTTATATATACAAACAAATATATGGTGTACATTACGTAATAATAAAATGTTAATTTAATAAAGAATGCGTTTCAGTTAGCCAAACCGGTGTTTTAGTTTTATACGACCTAATGTACGTACACAGACTACGAATGAGTATTGATTTTCTATCTTCAATTCGTTCTTCTACCGACTGACTACGACTTACTGATTGAACAGGGTTAGATCGCTAAATTCTCTCCATTATATCTACCACGTTCAGCCTATTCAAACTGGATCAATGAGAAAAAACTGGATCTCAATATTTCTGCCGATGACACAAAAATTCCGACAGTAAAACACTCCAAAAAATTAGGAATTACATACATTTGGCAGTCTAAATTTCTTCCCTGCGTATACGACAGCGATTACGTCTAAATTACAGCACCGCTACAAGATCCCTTAAACGGAACTGGCAGCCCTTGGGGTAAAAATAACAACAACATTCAAGTTAATTGGGGGACGCCGCACGTTTAAGCGGGCGTTAAGCAACATTCATGAATACCTTCATTGTCTAGCCGTGAATGAGGGGTTCTAAAAGTCAAACCATCTATTTTAGGAGAGCAGCCGAGGTTATCTCTAACCCTTGGATAGCTATGACATGCGTCCATTTATCGTATAACTCTATCAAAGAGGTTTTGTAAAGCTTGGGTTAATGGTTGTAATGTGTTCTCTCACCGAATTACCCGATAGTATGTCTCCCTTAAGCCTTCCGTTCCCACTACAATCGGGTCTACGTTACCGAAACGGACCCGGATTTTCATCTGGCCCAGCATTGTCAACTCGGTAGAGTTCTGCCGCTACAACAACAACAATAATCGTAATTTCTTGCCGCCAATGTAGCCGCACAGTGCAATGAAGTGGTCTGCGGTTTTTTTGAAAGTAATCACCGAAGGTGAAGAGTCACCGCATTCATCATCCAAACGCGATTTCTCTTTCAAAAGCAGGCATCGAATCTCCGACCGATATTGTTCTTTTTCCATTTTATTAAAATGCGCGGACATGAAGTATTCCACACGCGGTCAAAACAAAACTTCGTTTCGGATACGCTTGAAATTTTCACAGTAACCGTCTACATGAATGTACCATATGATATTTAATTTTCGCCATCGTATCTATATATATATGTTCTACCCACAAGCTGTTTCCTTCAATGTTAAAAGTTTTGGCAAAGAAGAAATATTCGTCCAGTGTAAAGAAAATAATGTATGAGAGCGTATCACGGTTCAGTACGTTATAATTGTCTTCTAAAAAAGTTTAGTTTTTATTAACCGCACATTCCTTAATTAAGTGGTTCAGTACATAAGTCCTCGTGATGCTTTTACAGGTATGATTTTAATAGTGCAACAACTCATTGAATAAAGCACTTCCAGTCTTTAAAACTGGGATGGAGCTCGGCTGTCGCCAGCTCCCTTTCAGCGGGTAGGCAAGCATGACAGAGGATCACTGATAGTTGTTGTTGTTGTAACGGTTATCTAGTCCACGCTTGGGTAGTAAGTTTCAGTTTGGTTGTCGTCGAGATTATCTAACGGGAGGCCTAGGAAACGAGCTGTTTCGACAGGGTCGGACCATAGCGAAATGGATGTTAGATGAATGGGGTTCGTTGGGCAGGCGAAGAGGTGGTTAGTGTCATGCGAAGACTCATTGCATGCAGGACATATATTGGGTATGTCGGGGTCGATTCTGGATAAGTAGGAGTTTAACCTGCTACAGTATCCAGAAAGCGGCAACCTGAGCTCTACGTCTGCGATGAGTGGTGGTTTGACTCCAAGTACGCCATTCACTGAGAGGGAGTCGATGAAGATGTAGATAGTTCCACTGTTAATGGCGGTCAGTGCTTGTCTAAAGTTCGTTGCGTCCGAAGTCTGGTCGGCGTACTGTCCGATGTCGTCGACGTTATCAAGGAAGGACCTCTTTATATTCCTAGACGGCGGTTCCACTTCAAGCAGACGACTGCAGGGGTGACCGGAAGCATTCTAGCCTCACTATGTAGGTGTTCGTTTGGGGGCATCAAGAGGCATGCCGTGATAGTCCGGAGTGCAGTGTTTTGACATGTCTGAAGCTTCTTCGTCTGCGTTGCACTATATCCAGGCGACCATATTGGTTCAGCGTAGTTTATGACCGGACGGCCGATTACCTTGTAAGTTGCCAACAACGTTTCTTTGTCTTTCCCCCAAGAGCTGCTGGCAAGGGATTTGAGGATTTTGTTGTTGTACTTTTGCAGTTATCGCGGTCGCTATCTCTCTGACCGAGTACAGACTGGATCTACAAATTTCAGTCGGTTTTTAGCTGTTACATTCGACAGCCTCCTTCGTCCACTTTGTAAAAATGGTTGCTGTGGATTTAGTGGAGGGGAGTGTCAGGCTTCTTGCAGAGAAGAAGGGAGAAAGGTCGGAGAGATAGCCGTTTACATTTGAACACATACTATCGATTTTATTGCCCGACGTCTATATCGTGCAGACATCAGCTAACGAGGTCATGGGAATTCGCTCTGATGGTTGAGAGAGTTTCGATATGTAGAAATTAAACAGTAATTCTTCTAAGTTTGGAGTTTTGATCCCGAAACAGTACGGATGAATGCCGACCGTTCAGGTAGTTCATAGTCCACCGCTTCAGCCCTGGAGGAAGCGTGGATTGTGCTATGTACTCTAGTAGCATTGTGTAGTTAACTGTGTCAACAGTTTTTGACAAGTCCAATGCTACGAGGATCGTCCTCTCGCAGGGTGGCTTTTGGTTTAGGCCATGAACTATCTGGGACTTTGCACTTTACGGAAGCCATGCTGATGGTTTGCTAGACTCAGGTGGTGAGTGAAAGTCGGAAGTAGCAAAGCCTCAAGTTTCTTCACTACTGGGGAAAGGATAGTTCGGTTTCGAACGATAAGACCCCCTTTTTTTGGCGGGGTTTTAGTAGTGGGACCACTCTTCCGACTTTCCACACATCGGGTATTTGAAGAGCGGTCAGCGACAGGTTGAGGACCTTGGTGAGATAACTTACTCCCGTCGAGCCTAGGTGTTTTAGCATCAGCATGCTTATTCCGTCAAGGCCAATGAATTCGGACGATTTGACCTTGTTGATAGCACTCTGAAGCTCCCTATTGGTGAAAGTATCGTTCTGTCTTGTCTGCCCATGGGTGCAGTGTAAATTGCCGGTTAAAATACCTCGCGCACTTCTTAGGGTCCGAGGAGGCATGGACATCGAATTGAATTTCAACTCGGTTGTCATGTTTCCTCGGATTAGACAATGCCTTGACAGTAGTCCAAAGCTTACTCACGCCGATGGAAAGGTTGCTCTAGTAGCGCACCTATGTTTGAGTGATATATAAAACGTTGAAACCTGCACAACTCAGAAGATCTGAGCGGCTTGGTATCTTGGACTGCAGATATCGATAGGCGTTCTCGGCTCATAAATCTATCAACTATCTCCTCGATCTTGCTCTGGAGTCCGTTGCAGTTAAATTGTAGAAGTCGGGTTTGTCTCAGGTGTCTAGTGGTGATCCTGCGGGTGAAGGAGGTACGTGTAGGTGGTGGTTGCAGCTGTTTGGCGACGCCACTATATGAAATTGCGGGGCAGACTCCTACAGCACGGGGCAACATACGACACACTCCGCTCACGTGTGGTACGCAGCCCGGACCACGACGGAAAGTGACACCAGCCAGTACAAGAATTGCCCTAGACTGATTCGACATTCCGGCATATGACGGTCTTACACACGGAACAGACTGTGCGAGGAACCAGGAGTTGCTGAGTGGTTCTCGCACGAGGATTGGAGCAGGATGAAGGATGGGGGGTTAGTCAGATTGGGAGTCATGGTTAGATCGCCAAAATAATAGCCCTTGGCCGGATAAAATCCGGGTCCATTCCGGTAACTGAATTGTCTCTGACTATCAGCTTCTTCTCGAGTAACCTTTTGCTAACTTCCTTTATTTAATGCGTTTCTCTACCCCTGCTATTTGGAAGTTGCGTCGAAACGTTTGAATGGTTGTTCTTTTCTTGTATATGAGGAACGTACTTGCCTTAACAATACTCTAATATTGACAACCTTTGCTCGAGAGTCAGACATTAAAAGCTTTATATAATATTTTTTCATGCTGCTGCGTCTATCTCTCGAATTGTTATTTCTGAGCCCTCAGACCACACGTGGTGAGATTTCAAGTTAAATATATGCTATAATACTGTAAGAACTTATTATGCATTAAACTTATTCCCCAAAAATCGAGGGAGAGACCGCTTGTTCTAATTTGTTGGAAGAGCTCATACGAGGATATGCAACTGTATACTTTCATTTTCATTTATTTTGGAAGAAAGTTTTGTTCAGTCAACTTTAATTCAAAATAAATCGTAGAACTTCAAAGGAATTTCGTTGAACTCAAAGAAATGCTTAATCTATTTTATGCAAATTTAATATAACCAGAAAATGCTAGTTAATTACTAACTATGAATATATCACTTAAAAATAATCTGAATGTCCATCATTAAAACCATATTCCGTATTTCTTGCGCATTATTGACATTGAAACAGTACAAAACAATATTAACAACGAACCGAGTTAATTTTAGAGACATACATATGTACATCCACTATCCATGAGAGAAAAAAATAATTTTTTCAATATGATCTTTTATGCGTTTTAGAACACAACTACGTACAAATATACCAGATGAAACAAAGATCATAATGAATTTTCGATCTTGTTCGAAGCACTTATGAAAGTACATACAAGTATACCTATGTTTCTAAAAAACTCAAACCTTAAAATGAAACAATTTTTACTTTTTTTCTTGTTTTGGTTTTTTCTGTTTTATTTAAATTTACTTTATTAAAAACTAATCAATAATAGGTATATATATTTTTTATTTTTTCACATTATGCTCGAAGATAAATTATAGAAAAATAATCATGACTTTACAGTTAACGTACATTTTTTATTTGCTGTTGTTATATGAATTTTCTGATTATTATTATTTTATTTTATTATTATTATATTTACTTTGCTAATGTTTGATGTTAATGCTGCACAAAATCGAACAATACTACATACTTGT